CCTTGCCTCCCAGGATATGTGGTCAGGCCATTGGTCATACAACTCTATATGCTACACTGTAACCTGTCCGGGTCACTGAGCTGGTAGTAAGTGGCAGAGGTATCAAGTCTCTGGCATCGCTGGTTTGGAAAGGGTCTTCAGGAGGGACACTGCAGTCCTGATTGAGTCATCTCACTCTGTTTGCCTGATATTCAAGGTGATACATCAGGGTAACAGTCACATGATAATGCAGAGGACCTCCTGAGGACACATGGACTGACCTTTTTGTTAATTCCTAGCTTTCTCTTTAACAGCTTTGCCTCTGAGGACCTGGGTTTCCTGTTCTGTTAAATGAGGATAATTATTCCCATCTAAGAAGGCTGCGAGAGGATGAGGGATCCTAGCCCAGGGCCTGGCAGGTGGGTCCCCACCTAATGCTGGGGAACCAGAATCTCATCTTGCCCAAGACTCAGCTGATGGCAGAACCTTCCTCCTTGTCTGTTGCTTCCAGGCTAATCTGATACCAGAGCACTCCTGGGCCACTTGTCTTTTAGCAGGTGACTTCTTTGTCCTATTTAACCACAGGTGATCTGTCCCCTCGGCCCAAACTGTTCACTTTCATTAACAGGAGCCCTTGATGTGCCTTTCCGTCCTCCTCTCTCCACATCTCCTGCTTCCTATGTCTAGGAACAGCAGAAGCAAAAATGCAGAAACAGCTATTTGCAGTGGAGAGAGGACCTCTCCCTTCCCCTAGCCTTCTCTGGCCAGGGGACCTTCCCACATGCTGCTGTTTGAATACTGTCCCATACCCGCTCTTGCATCAGATGCTTTAGCTGTAGCTTTTGGTAACTTGATTTCAAGTCAGTAGATTCCTATTTAGCAGTTACTCTGTAAAAAATAGCCTGCAACTTGAATTCTCTTTTAATTTCACATGCACTGCATCAAGCATACATCATCTATTGTATGTGAATAGAAACTTTCTTTTTTTCCCCCTCTTGTAAAGTCCTGGTTGCTGCTTTCACTGATTTCTTTCTGCACCATACCTGTTTTCCTCCATAGTGGAGAGAAGTGGGTGTGTACGGTACAACACAGACACCCCCTTGAGTCTAATTGGGAAAATGCAGAGAGAAATGAAATTATGGAGGCAAACAGTAGTTCATGTCAAAAGAAAAAGGACCCAGGGGTTTTAGTGGACTAAGTTCAGCTCTTGATTTGGTCAACAAATGTTCAGTAATTGTCTGCTCTGTGGCAGAAATTATCCTAGGAAATGAGGTACAAAATTGATGAGATTTGGCCCTGCTCATGAGGAGGTCACAGTTGTGTTAGGGGGACAGGTTTATATCAGATAATTAAAGTATATTGTGATAACTGGAGTGTAGTGAGGAAGGACATAGGTACCTGATTCAGCCTGGGACAAACCCAGGAAAGATTTTACAAAAGAGGGAATGGTTGAGTGGGGTCTTAAAGGATGAATAGGAGATTGAAGAGAAGGTAAGGAAGAACAGAAATTCTAAGGAGTAGCTGGATAAAGAATCAGGTGGAGGCATGAAAAAACAAGGTCTATTCAGAGATTTCCCAGATTTTCACTCTTCCTGAGGGAGGGGGAGGTAAGCAGTGACAAAAGGCAGAGTCTAGAAAGGTGGGCTGGTGTGTGGGGACAGTTGGAACCAGGGATCTGGGTATGGATTAGGCTGCCCAGAGAAGTGTGTCGGGGGAGAAGAGAACTAAGCCAGGATCCTTGCAAACAGCAACCTCAAAAATGTAAGGGAGAAAGAACCATCTGTGAGGAGAGAAGAGAACCAGGCCTGGGGTATGAGAGTGAGGTACAGGGTATGATGAGCCTGGCAAATCTGCTGCCCCGAAGAGCAGGAAAGTTTGGTGCAGGAAGTCCATGTTGAATGGGGCAGCTGAGAGCCAGATACCTTGATTTCTCTATTGCTCATATACTTCCTTTTTAAGCCTTGGATTTTCCCCAAACTGTCTACTTAGAGGGTCTGCAGCAAGTCATTTTGACAGGAATTAAGGGTCTGCACATAGTAGGCAAAGAATAATTTCAGTTTCACGATCATCTCTGTCAGCATTTGTTGCTGCCATTCCCATCTGCAGTGGCATCTCAGTGTTATTTCCTCACTCTCCAGCAGGCAGGCAAGCTTTTGCAATTGTAAATTGGATCTTGGCACATCTTAGCTTAAAAATCCTTCAGGATAATGCAGAACCATGCTGTGCCCCATGTGGTGTGGCCCTGTAGCTGCTTGGGCTGGTCCCACACCCTCTTCCTGGCTTCCTAGGTCGGGCCACCTAGCCTCCTCCAGGTCTTCTTGCTGGTCAGACTTTCTGCAGAGTCTTGAGTGTGTCCCACTTCTCCAGGCCACACCTCTATAACTCCTGCCTAGCCTCAGTTCCCTATCCCATTGTCAGCAAACGTTCAAGTAATTTTGTGGACATTTTCATGTCCCTGCCTGTCCTGCCACCTGTGGTCACCACAGATCTGTGTTGATGCGTGTTTAACCCCCCACGCCCCAATGGCTGGGCTGGCCCTGCTTTCTCCTCTGGTTCCTGGCTGGCCTCTGCCATCATTCAGGTCCACCTGTCTTCTCAAGTTTTGTCAATGCCCCCTCCTCTGTGAATCCCTGAAGTAGCTACACAGCATTGCACAGATCACTTTATGTCCTTACTTAGGTTGGGTGCACATTTTTAGGATTTTTAATGCTTAGACATCGTAGAGTCTGGCAGCCATGAAGTACAATTCTTCCCTAGCTCCTGGAAATTCCCTTATAGGTACAGGGAGTACAATAACAGTATCTATCCCTGGCCAGCTTTGTGGGCATGAGGTTCTTAACAATCACACAGGGCCCTGTGCTCAGAAGGGCTCCTCACTGGGTTTAATGCTATGCTGTTACCATCTTGAAATTCTTAGTATTTGAACAAGAGCTCTACACATCATGTAGCTGGCCCTATACCTGCCTCTCGAGGCACTGTGAGAAACCATAAAAGGATGTGTGACATCTGTATCTCTAGGGCCTGGCACCTGGTGATACTTTCAGTAGGGTCACCTGTCATCATTTTAGTCTTGCTCAACCACAACCATGGTCAATAATTCACTCTTCTGTTTGCTTAGCTTCATTGACTAAGCGCTGTGGTCAGAAGCATTGATCAACTGCTGAAAACCCTTCTACAGCTGCTCCTCACCCATGCCGGGTTTCCAGTCCTGGCCAGTCTTCAGATTCACTGCTGGAGCTTGTTAAAAATAGATGGCTGCAACCCACCAGGCCCACTGAACCAGACTCTTCAGGGTTGAGCCTGTGAGGCTGTGTGTTTAGCAAGTTCCTGGTGGCTCTGACATCTTCATCGATGCTGTGATGGGTGTGACAGAGCTTAGGAACCTCCATCCTGGGTGATAGAACCTGTACCCCTTGCTGTGGCATTTGGTATCCTTTCCATCTGGCCCTGGCCTACTCTGCTAACTTCATTTCCAACATGTACCTTAACCCTACATCAAAGTGCTGCCTCTCCCTGATGGCCTGGAGGGTCCCTTCACTCCTGTAATACCTGAGGGGTCGCGAAGCCCTATCCTGTTTAACAGATTAACTGAACATGTTATTCCTTACTTTCATGCCCACCATCACCATTTTTCTTTACCTCCATGCACATGCCATGTTGCACCATGATTTTTCTCTGCAGCCTGAGCTGGGGAGCTCACCTCTGTACCCTTAGTTAGCAGTGTAATACACAGATGGTGCTGAATTCCTGCATGTTCACGACAGCACCCAGAGGGCACATTCTCTGTGCATGTGTCTGCTGGTTTCCCTGCAACCCTGAGCATACAGTTGGTGCTCAGCAGAGCCTCACTGCTTGGTTCAGCCTGGCTGGTTCATAGCACAAGTATCCACCATGCGTGCTCACTTTGCAGCTGGCAAACCGTGTGCCTTCACAGCACTCGGTGCTCACTTTGCCCTTGTAGGCTCCTGCAGCTGTGGGTCGATCCTCGCTGTGTGGGAACACAGGCTCTCCTACCTGGAGAGCCTTTCCTCCTAGGAGCCTTTAGCACAACAGTCATTCTAGAAGGTCCTGCATGTGCTGTATGAAAAAGACTTGGTGCAATTGACACCTTTCTGTATGTAGTAAATGCTCTGTCCACCAGTCTCTTCCCTTCAAGAAATGACCAATTATCAAACTTGGACTCCTGAGCTTTTTCAAACCAACTCCCAGTCATTCCACCTAGAGATTTTGTTGTGTTTTCCCCAAGATCTGTTGGGTTTAAATCTTTTTCCTCAACGTTAGTTTAATCTTTCTTTTCAACATTCACTAAAGGCAGCTGGTAACCATGCCAAATGGATTATTTCCTTTTGACTGAATACTCACTTATGCTGTATGTTTTTTGTGGGCTTTAATGGCTAACACCTGAGCCATCAAAGAGAGCATTGGATCTGTCTGGAAGGTGCTTTCCTGAGTACCTACTGTGTGCTCTGCCTAAAGGGGGACACTCAGACATAGCAGTTCAAGGCGATGTGCCATTCTGATTTTCAGAGGTCTTTAGTCTCCTAACTCACAGGATAATAATGATACCCAACATCTTCATTTACACAGTGCTTCATGTGCTGTGATCCTCAGCAGCCCTGCAGGGAAGTTATGAAAGCCATTGGATAGATAATGGAGCAAACCAAGGATGGTTTTCAGATCCTGTGTGTTATGGCCCCATTGGTATATTTTGCCTAGTGGGCAGAGATCGGGATCAAATTGGCCACTTCCTTGGAGCTCCTTGGACGTGCTTGGAAAACCCTTTCTTCTTCTTGGATGTCCTTTCCAGGTTGGAAGAGGGTGGCTGCTGATGTCTAGAAATTTCCAAATTCCTTGGAGGACCCAAGCTCAGTGGAGAAGTCACGCTTGAGAAGTTGGAGGGCAGCCAAGAGCACCCGCCCTCCCTGCTCTGCACTTCATTTCAGCTGTTTATGGTGCCGGGTGCTTTCTGAGTCCTGGGGAATGCTCCATGCTTCTTGTAACCTCCTTTCTCTCCTCTGTCTCTTTCCCAGGCACATCTCTCTAACGCTTCCTGCCACCTTCCGAGGCAGGAACAGCACCCGGACAGACTACGAGTACCAGCATTCCAATTTGTATGCCATATCAGGTATGTGGGGCCACTGCTGCAGGCCAGCTTTGGAGTCTGTGTCCTGAGCCTGTGTCCTCCTTCTACACATTCTCTGTCTTCTAATGGGACCTGTCTTACCTCTCCTCTTCCCTGCGAGGGGCCTGCTCCCTGCAGTGACCAGGCCTTTCCTTTCCTTTGTGTCACCACAGCACTTAGAGAAGGGCCAGAGACTCAGCATGCTTTGAAACTAATGATGAAAAACAGTGTGTGGATCTCACAAGCTTGAAGAGAGGTTTCCAGAGAATACTCACCACATTGTTCACCTGGCAGACCCTGGGCAGGTTTCCCATGGGGCCTTGAGAGCAACACCGAACTGAGCTAGGTTGGCTTGCCCTCCTGTGTCCAAGTGTGTCCTCACCTCTCATTTCTCACCGCCAGGTTTGTGGCCAGAGGGTACATTGGCGGTCTCTCCCCTCACACCCCTGGATTATGCATCTGTGGTTTCTGAACTCGGCCTTGAAATTGATAGCGTTACCTTGGCAGGAACTTCATCAGTCCTAGTTTTCCTTTACACCTTCATCCAGGGAGGGAAAATCTACAAGCCTTATTACAGAATTGAGATTCATTAGGTGCTTGGCAGTGCAGGTGACTCGCTAAGAGTCAAGGAAACCCACAAACTCGCCTCCGATTATCCTGGGCCACCAGTCAGGGGTGTTTGTGTATAAGGGGAAAGTGGCAAATCAGTGCCACTTACCAGCACACATCCTTAATGGTGAGTGACATTTTGAACACAGCAACATGGCATTCATTCATGTACCATAATGAATCGGTTATTTAAAAGGTAATCTTTTTTCTAAAAATTGCAACTACAGGTTACTAAATAGATGAAATAGAACAATAGCATAATCCTTGTCAGTATTAGTTTTTCTCATTATGATCACTCCCTAATAGGTTTGGAAGTATAAGCAAAAGCCAGTTCCATTTCGGGGTGACTCTCCTGCTGGGAAGGGGAGAAACCAGGATGTTCTTAAGCCCCCATCCCTGGCTCCTCTCCAGGAGCCAGCCTCTCCAAGGGGAGAGGGAACGTGTTTGTCTAAGAAAAGCATGTCCAAGGAGAATTTCTTTTGTGCTGCAGCTATTTCAGCAGAGTCGACAAGGAGCATAACAAGTGTGGAAAGATGACCTATTTTATAGAAAAGCTGAATATTTCCCCAGATGCTTAGTGGCATAGTGGTGCAAAACAGGCCTTGAAATCCAGCAGGGCGACCCTGTTCATAATGCACGCAAGGCAAACTCCAGCAAAACAGATGACTTTTTCCCTGCAACTCGCAAATCTTTTTCCAGCCACAGTGTTCGGCTACACCCACCTTACCTGTGTTCTCTGATGGCTTTCTCAGCTGTTGGCGTTTCTGTAGAAAAGAGCCCACAGAGCAAAATCTCCTCTGGTTTGGCAGGAATGTTGCTGTCTGCCTCTGGACCACTGCTTCCTCGCCCTGCAGCTTTGATGAGGTGTTGTCTGGGTTCATTTCAGCTGTTAGTTTAGCAATACCAAGGTAACAGCCTCAAGACACAGGGGAAGCCATTTAGAAACTTCCTGTTACATTTATGTAAGTGGCAGTCAGCTGGATTTTATCTTCCAAACAGAGGTAGTTGAGGCTGCAGCCCATGGCAGCAGGCAGCTCAGGCCTCCTCAGTGGCTGCTGGCACCAAATTGCTCTGCCAGGGTCCAGAACTGCTTTGCTGTGATGCTGCCAGAACTATCCCGCAAGACCCGTAGGCTCCATAAGGCCTGCAAACTCAGCACTGGGCAACTATGGTGCAACTGGGAAGCCTGCCCGCCCACCCGCTGGCAGCCTGCCTCAAGTAGTTCTGGCTAAAAGGAAGCAGAGACCACCCCCCTCACCCCCACATGAACAGTATTTGGCACTGAGTGGCCCATCTCGATTTGGTATTGTGAAGTTAGGATTTCTAATGGTTTATTCCAAAAACAGTTAAGGCAAAGTATGCCCCAGGCCCTAGCCCTTGCCCAGTGCTGATTCCTTGATAGTTGGAGTTCTGCTGATAATGAAATGAATCATCAGACTGTTCTGCTTCTGAAACAGCTCTGGCATGTGTTCACTGCAGACTTCAGGAGCTCAGCCTTTGGTGCACACTCCTAGTATGCTCTGTGTTCCTTATGAAGATATTAGATTACCACTCCCTTAGTGTTTGGTCCTGTCCTAAGATAAGTAGATTTCAAAACTATGTAATTAGGAAACTTGAAAAACAGTTCACATTTAATGTGTATGTGGTTGTTAACATATATCTACTTTCAAATGTTTTTCTCAGTGGTATACCTGTTGTATATCCCTTTTCCTATAACTTTTACTAAGACAATTCACTCCCACCAAACCTGAGAAGCACTGTTCAGAGTTGGTAGAGACACGAGTGGAGACAATATGTAGCTCTGTTCCTGGCACACGCAGGTGCACACGAAATGTTTATGGAAGGAAGGGAGGAAGGGAAGCATCTAGCCCTGTGTCTGCCTTGTACCAGAATATCCTGTAAGACCCCTGAGACAAGTGGTCATCCTAACTTGCCATTCATGCACCTCCAGTGTCTGGGTCCTTCACCTTTGACCAGCCTATTTTATCCCTGTGAGATCCTCCTAAAGCTGAGCTCTGTCTTCCTGTACTGGCATATCCGTCCAGCAATTTGGGATACTGTGCACTCTGTTTGCCAAAATTTGCCAGCTGTTCTACACAGTCCAGTCAAAATTTCTCTCTTGCCGCAGAAATGGAATGAGGAACTTTTACTGATTGATGATAAAGTCCTGAGAAGCCTGTGTCTCTTGCTCTGACCATCTTATACCCTAATCACAATAACCATGGAGCCAACCTTTGATCCTTACACTTTTTCCCTATAGAACTTTCTCCTAGAAAATACTTGCAGATGTGTGAAAAGATTTTGCCACAAGGATGAGCACTGCTGCTTTAAAAAAAAATAATACAACAAAACAGGGGTGAGAAGTGGACATATCTTAAATGCCCCAAACAAAGGAGAATGGTTAAGTTACAAAACATTCATACAATGGTCTTAACTTTTCAACCTTCTAAAAAGTGATGGTTTACATTAAAATATGTACATGCGAATTGTGAAGTGGGAGGAAAAAAACTGGTGACAAACCAGAATGTGTGGTGTGATCTAATTTTTAAAAATTCAGAGCCGGGCTCGGTGGCTCAGCCTGTAATCCCATGCTTTGGGAGGCCGAGGTGAGTGGATTGCCTGAACCTGCGGTTTCGAGACCTGCCTGGTCAACTTGGCGAGATCTCATCTCTATAATAAATCAAAAAATTAGCCGGGCATGGTAGCGCTCGCTCAGAAGACTGAGTGGAAGAATCGCCGGAACCCAGCAGGTCGAGGCTGCGGTGGCCGGGAGCATGCCACTGCACTCCAGCCTGGGCGACAGAGTGAAACTTCAATTCAAAAAAAAAAAAATCATCTAAAGATCTAGAAAGACCCATGCCGAAGTGTTTACATTGGTTTTCCTTCTCTTTCCTCCTTTTTTCTTCTTTTGCCTTCTGTGAGGTTTCTCATTTTTTTGAATAGCATGTTTTGCTTTTGTAATAAGAAAAAAATATAGATCCTATGTGGTCGTGGCATGTTCTTTGTAAACCCTACTGGCCTTCAGGACCACCCTGTTATTTTCTGAGTGTTCATGAGCTGCCTGACTCATAATATCCTTTCAAAGTTTACTGGAAATCACTTACAAACCACAGATCAATAATTTTCTTATTGTCCCTTTTGAGTATATATATATTTTTCCCTATTACTTAGTCTCCTGAAACCGCCTCTTTACTCAGGTTCCTCCAAGATCGCTATCTGTAATTCCAGCATTGTCTTTTATATCCTGCTGGCCTTCCCAACATGGACTGAGCAGGAAAGCACCTGACTGCTTGGGCTACCTCCTCACCTTCTTTGTTCTTCAAATTCCCTGTCACTGTTTGATTTTATTCTTTATGGTTTGAAGATGGAAATAAAACGATGGCTTGGCTCACTCTGTTATCCCTCTATTTTAGGATCAGCAAACTATGGCCCATGGCCATATCCCACCCACAGCCTGTTTTTGTGTGACCTGCAAGCTTAGGGTGGTTTTAATATTTTTAACTCATCGAAAAAAATAAAAATAATAATACTTAGGGACATGTGAAAATTATATGAAATTCAGATTTCAGTGTTCATAAACAAAGTTGTACTGGAACACAGCCATGCCCATTCCTTTCCAATGATCTGTAACTGCTTTTACACTGCAATGACTGAGTTAGGTGTCTGTGGCTGACACCATATGGCCCACAAATCCTAAATATTTACCCTCCGGCCCTTTATAGAAAATGTTTACCAACCCCAGGTTAGTGTCATCAATCCTAAACTGTGGGTGCTGCTCATTCTTGCTCTTTCTTGCTCTAAACAACATTTTTCGAGCCACCTTTTGTAACTGTTCTTACCATGGAAAGTGTCTCATACTTTCCTTGTAGCTTTCCTGGCACTGTTCTTACCAGCGTGGCCCTCTGTAACTACATGCCTTCCGTCATCTGAGCATGCCTTTAAGATCTTACACCTTGGAGGCCTCTCTTCAGGGCCATGTTGGTATCTCTAGATTCTACCCCACACCCCATCATAAGTTGTCTGGTCAGAACCTTAGTGGCTGTGAGTTTTCTTTTTAAGAATATCTTTCCTAAAAAGTCTTCTATTTTAGTTCCAAATTGTAGCACCCTACCTTTTCTTAGAATTTTTTTTTTTTTTGAGTTGGAGTCTCACTCTGTCGCCCAGGTTAGAGTGCAGTGGCACACTCACGACCGACCACCCCAGCGACGACCTGCTGGGCTCTGGCGATCCTTCCACCTCAGCCTTCCAAATAGCTGGAAGTACAGGCATGTGCTACCGTGCCCTGCTAATTTTCAATTTATTGTAGAGATGAGGTCTCGCCAAGTTGCCTGGGCTGGTCTCGAACTCAAGGGCTCAGGCAATCCACTTGCCTCAGCCTCCCGAAGTGCTGGGAT